CACATGCAGTGTTATCGAACATTTGGCAACTCGCGAGATGCCACGCCCCCTCACACTCCTCACTGTTTCCTCTCACTGCTCGCTGTCCTCACTATACTCACACTATTGGTGTGAGGCGCCTATTATTCCTTCATGTTCACAGTATATCACAACACTGGCATAATCACCGTTAACCACTAGACATATGGATATATCATTTAACAACTCCAGTATATAGATCACTTCATCAATATTCATAATAATAAGGTAACTCTAGGCACACAGCCTTACACTACTGAATTGTACATTTATATATATAATATATATATATATATATCTATATCCTCTGGCACAAACTTGTAATATAAATGACACGTAAATATAAATGTCCTCATCACAGTAATCTCTTCATCAAACCTCAGGTGCAATCACACACCATATATATATCTCGTGAGAGCTCTATAGCATCTCCCTTCACAGCTGTGTCTTACTTGAAACATAGACATTGGTGAGCCCTGCTCACGACATAGAAGATACTCTGGGTAATCGCTAACTAAAGGGGAATGGGAGGGAAAACTGAATTACCTACTTCCACCATCAATGATGTGGACTCGTCCTCTGTTGAGGGTTGAATTGAAGCTCCTGGTCCCGGCTGACGGCTTGCTGTAGGGAACACCCCCACACACACTGATGCTCTTCCCAGGACCTCAACCAACACCCAAAAACGCGTTTTCTACGTACTGCTTCCCTTTGCAGACTCCGTGCTCCTACACAACTTCTTGAAGAGTTGGAATCGGTCTCCTGGTCGTCGCCTGCTCCTCACACACTACGTCTGCAGTCCTCGCTCACAGCTGCAGTCGTTCGTATTCCCAACTAGTTTGTTCTCCTTCCTCATGATGAACTAGCCCAGCCGCTACGTCATCACCCGACTGGTGAAACTGTACAGTCGTCCCTGACGTCACTGCCCAGGCTCCACTCTTGCTAAGCACCTGTCACTGGAGCACTTGTTGCTCGTTTCCCGTCAATTCCTTCTTCTGTCCGCCTCACGAAGTTCAGGAAGACCTCACAGGATGCTCGCAGACCACTGGTGATGCGTATATTCACCGGATAGGGGCGAAAACTGTCAGACTGACAGGACCCCCTATCGCACGTCCGCCCTTGACGATGTGCCCTTGACGACGTGTCGTATCTAACTCCTGACGCCACGGGGGCGCACGCCCGGACCTACCTTCACTCGTGACGTCACACTTGCCAGGGGCGTTTCTCATTGGCTCCCTGTATCACGTCACAGTTCTTGGCCAATTTGGTGCCACTGACTTCATAACATTTTGGCGCGAGAACGTAGGAGTCGGCGCCGTCTTGGCGTATTAAAGGGCCTAAGCCACTAGCCAAAACACTTCTTTCGTTAATTTCTCGCCAACGAGAACACCTCATGCTCCCACATATGTCAAATTGTTCTCTGGAAAGCAGAGAACGTTCGGGTAATGTAGATATGACTCTTCCAGCTGGCGTGGGAGAAATAGAAGGGGGGGGGAACACCGTCACAGTATATATTGTGTAGTTTACATACATAATATTATACATTGGTTGATATGAGTTTACATAGATTTATAATATACATTGGTTTATACGAGTTTATATAGTTTACAATATACATTGGTTCACATGGGTTATTATTTTATCTTTATTTACATAGTTTCATTTTCATAAGATACAGAGGTATACATTATACAGTTTACATAGAATATAATATACATAGGTTTACATAGATTATAATATACATAGATTATAATATACATTGGTATACATAGATTACAATACACATTAATTCACAAGGGTAATTATTTTATCTTTATTTACATAGCTTCTTTACTCATATTATACTTAAGTTACATATTGTCTGCCATTAAGAAACTCAAACAGATGTGTTATATAAATTTCTGAAATGAGAAAAAGGTACAGACATGTAAATTAGTATTGACGGGCACCGGTGATGTGCTTTATGTACATCATTCGCGACCACCGGATGGTGTTGCTCACAAACATCCTCCTGAATAGTCTCTGGTATTTTCTTGACGCCAGCCTGTTCATTGGCTTATCTTCTTTGGGTCATACGAGCCGAGCGATCCGACGATAAAGGCGTGGACTGTGAATTGCCTGTAGATCCGTCCCTTTGATGCTGCTAGCTCAGCGTATTTCTCTTCCTTTCCCAGTCTCGCCTCCTCAAAGGCGTCTGAGCCATTTTCGAAGGGGCAAGTGACGTCGATCAGCAGTACTTCACCGTTCTTTTCTCGGACGATGTCAGGTCTTAGTGTTATTCATTTCCAGGACTTGCTGGTTTTCAGATAGTACTTTCCAGTGCCTGCCTTCTGAAGCCTTCAGGATGCGAATTACCAACGCGTTGTGTCGCTGGATCATCGCATTTGACAGTCTCATACAATGGTTGATGACGTGGGGTAGAGTTTCATTCGGGTGGGACATCTCCTACATCGTTGGTCTCCGTTGATGTTGAAACGGCGAGCCCCGTTCAGAGGGAGTAGATTTAGTCGTGCCCTATAGATAAAGCGCCAGTCTGCAAAGGTGGTGAATGCTCCATCTCTGATGAATGCAGACGAGGCTCGCTCTTTTCCAACTTGCCCCATTATTTTTCTTGGTCTAGCTTGTCCCTGAGGATGTCGTCACATAGGCCTCTGTGGTGGTTCCTTATATTTCTTGCTAAAATTCTTCTCTCTTTGTGGGACATGGTTCTCTCCCCACATGTGACTTCCAGCACTTCTCCGTCTGTAGACCACTTGGTATTCATCCTTCCAGACGAGTTACGGGCTCTTGACCAGAGTGTCTCGTGTCCAGAGAGTCTCTGTTCCATGTCGTCCTTCGACAGATACACATGTTTTCTAGAGTTGCTTCCTGGCGCAGTCTTTGTGAAGTCACCCTCTTGCAGTCCTCTCTGGCGATATTCCTCATCTCTAGATCCGGCGTAGTGAGTAATTTGAATGCCGAGTCTATGATGAATATGTCTGAGTCTTCTGCGGCGAGGGGGATGCCACACGAGCCTGCTGCACTCTTCCCGAACAGGTATCTGCCAGTTGCACGCTGTGGTAGGTATAGTCTCCTTTATCAAGGGACGTAGCCGGTCATCTAACTGTTGCCAATCTCCCTTCCTCAGTTGCCAAGTTCTCATGGCAAACACAGTTGTAGGAAAGACGAAGGACTTTAGGGCGTCGATTCTTTGCCAAAGAGCCAATTTGCTGGTCATTATGGCAACTCCTAGTTGTTTAAATTCTTCAATAGCGTTGGCGTTTGGTAGGATGTGGAAACCTACTGGTCTTCGAGGAATTTGGTTTCCTCCCCATCTTGTCTGCTTTTCATTTCCTAGGGTTTAGTTTTAGCTTCAACTCTTCAAAGGCTGCAGCGGTGGTGTTAAGGAGGCTCTGTAGGCCTTCCACAGTCCTGGATAGCAGGGTTATGTCATCTGCATAGGCAAGGCAGGGGTGCTTGAGGGCTGGGTCAGCTAGCAGTCCTGCGTTGATAATCGTTCTTAGTATTGGCTCAATTGCGTTGTTAAATAGCAGCCCACTGATTGGGCATCCCTGCCTGACCCCACAGTCTGCCGGGATCTCGTTTGTTTCACCGCTTGCTGTCAGGATTCTTGTCGTATTTCCCCTTGTGATGCCTTGGATCACTGTGACAAAGTCTGCTCCCACGCCCATCCGTGTGAGGGAGGCATCTATGAGCTTTAATTGCACTGAGCCGAAGGCGTTTGTTAGGTCAAGCGACGCAATACAAATGTCTTTATTGCCATCACGTGCTTTGTCGAGGTAGTGCTGGAGAATGTAATTATGTTCAAGGACCCCCATCTGAGGCCATGAATCCTTTTTGTGCAGAGCAAAGGACTTGGTTTTGCTCTATCCATTTCGTTAGGTGTGCAGCAAGGCACCCTGCATATAGCTTGTATATTGTTCACCAATGAGCAATAGACCGCCAGTTGGTGATGTCTTGTAGGTCACCGTCCTTGGGTATTAGGATGGTGCATGACGTTTTCCATTCTTGGGGAATCCTCTTTTGTTGCAGGCAGATGTTATAAGTCGCTGCGATCACCTTGCAATCAGGGTCGGCCTGCTTCCAGTTTTTGTAATTTATTCTATCGTTGCCGGGGGCACTGTTCTCTGCCCTCATGAGCCTGACCTCTACTTCCCCTTCTCGGATCGGGTCTAAGTTGATTAAGGCACGATCCTCTGGTGGTTCTGGGATGGACTGGAGTGCTACTGGGTCTTCCAGTGGTGGTTGGGCTGCTAACACCTCCGAAAAGTGCCTCTCTATGACTTCACAAGGGATTTCACATCGACTGCTTTCCCCTGATATGATCAGTCTTACTGCACGTCGTCTATTCCTTCTATACAGGCGTTGGATTGCCTTGCAGTCGTTGACATCAATGGCTGTGGGTGTTGGCCAACTGACATCTATGCGGATGTTGCAGTGGGCTTGAACCGCCTGTGTGATATCTTGCAGGAGGCTTGAGAACTCGTCCCAGTCAGGGGAGCGTAGTAACGCGAGCAGCGGTGCATAGAAGGGTTCCAGTGGCCAATCTAGTGCTGCTTCATCGGGTTGTAGTTCAGGCTGGACTGCCTCGTCAGGTTGTTGATCAGGCTGCATTGCCTCAGCCACGTTGTCATGTAGTTGTGACTCATCAAAAATTCCGTTATCATTGTTGTCGCTGCTGGCTTCTGGGGAGGCCGGAACTTCATCAGGCCCTAGGGGATCTGGATGGGTAGGAGGGGGATGTTGGAGGAATGGAACTTTTATCACAATGGGTGATAGTGAGGGTGGTGGTTGGCGAGGCTGTGGATGCTGTAGTGGGAATAGGATTGGTGGGGGTGAAGGAGTGGGGGACGGCACTGGAGAGAAAGGAATGGGTGAGGCAGGTGGTAGTGCGGGTTCCGGGGTGGGATGGATGGGGGCGGGGGGGGGGGGTAAGGTTTCAGGGCTTGCAGGGTGGTAGTTATCAGGGCGCTGACTTGCTGGCTTGGGAGATGGGGTAAGGCGTGGCAACATTCTGGCCGGAATCTGTTGGGTGACGTTCCATCGCCCCTGGACTGCTTGCCTTATGTGGTATTGCTCATGGCTCATCTTCCCTATTACGGAGTTATACGAGAAGTCACAGTTCGGTCTGCTACAAGGAAATGCCAATTGAACATTTTCCTCTTGCCTTGATGCCAGAATTCTCTGTAACTGTGCACATGAATGTGTAGATGGCCGTTGTCCTAGGGTTAAGCCGCACCCTGCGCACATATACCTGGTCCTCTCTATCTTTAGTCCGTGCCCACCTCTCAGTTGTCTAATTAGTGATACTCTCTTGCAAGTCCATGTCTTCCCTGAGTGGACGTGGAAGCAGGCAGTCTCTGTGCATTTGAAGTGCTTGGGGAGCGGGAACCAGATGGTTAGGGTGTCTCCCTGTCTTTGAGGTTGCTGGTTTGCCCTTGGAGCGTTTGGGCCCGCCATGACAGTGCTGTTCTCGGCCCCAGGGGCAGGGGGCGCACCATGAGAGGGTATCTGGGCGTCGTTCCCGTCTTCTGTTAACCGAGGGATTCCATTCCTTGCTTGATTCAGGAGTCCATTAATCCCCTGACTCGTTATTGGGAAGGGTTGGGAGTCGTGGCTATTACTACTATCATCTGACCCATTGTTAACCCTCCTGAAGGTATACCGCCTGTTCCGGGGTCTTTGGGAGAGAGGGCTGTCCCAGAAGTCACGGTCGTCGTCGTCTACATGTGCTTGTTGTTCGTCACTGGAGAGCCCGTGGATTGCTGGCACGGTGGGTGTGGCCCTGATAGTGGAGCTGGAGCTGGAGCCCGCCCTCACAGAGCCAGCCTCCTGGTGCTGGCCCCAGGGTGAGTGGAGGAGCAAGGATCCTTTCCCGCCGAGGCCAACTCCCCAGGGTCGACTTCGGGGTTGCTGGCGTCAGAGTCATCAGAGATCAACCACACAGTGGTGACCCCCGGGGTTCGGATTCGCGTTGTCTCTCAGGGCCGACTCGCCAGGGTCGACCTTGGGGCAAGTAGTGTCACTATTGTCTTTTTTCGCACTATTGTCTTTCCTACCACTAGAGTCTTTACTAACGCTAACCCTTTTGTCTTTCCTGCGTGGGGACAGCCACACACTACTGGTGGTTGGGGAGGTACTGCCACGATAGTCTTTTCTATCGGAGGCCAACCTCGCATAACTGACCCCTGGGTGGGCAATGCCACTATAGTGTTTTCTATCAAGGGCGAGCCTGACCCCTTGGTGGGTATTGTCACTGTAGTCTTTGCTCTTGGGTTCAAGCCTTGCACAACTGACCCCTCGTTTGGCATTAGGGGTTTGTTAGATGAAAATTAAAAGTTGTTTTAGGGCATTGAAAATTTATTATCCTGATACATGTGAAAGGTGCTGCAACTGGGCCAAGTTTCAGCATCGCAGCCTAAATAGAGAGGGAGAAAAAAAATAGAAAAGTTTTTTTAGACAATTTTTCAACAATGTTCAAATCATTTCACAGCCCACAATTGTGAACCGAAATCAGTTCTATGAAACTTAGCTATGACCTTACTATATAATAAAGATTTGTCTGGTGGATTTTTATCCCAGATGTATTTAGTGCAATAATACAGATTTTGTAAATTTCCCAAAAATCCTATGCAACAATATGATATTTATAAATATTTATAAAATCAATAAATCTACGTAGAAAGAAAAGCCACCACAATGTTTTAAAGGCATAAACTTTACATATAATGTGCAAGTTTCATGTAAATTGAATAATAAATAAAGTCTGTGAAATCAGATAAAATTGTAAAATATTTACCTGCACAAACGGAGGTTAAAGTTCAGCCACCTTTAGCTGAGGTTGATGTTGACCGATATCATTCAAAATTTGCACCCTTGTAGATAGGCATGGGTTCAGTAAGGTGTGCAAGTTCCATGCAGATCGCCTGATAAATAAAATAAAAAAAAATATTAAAAAAAAAATAATAATAATATATATATATATATATATATATATATATATATATATATATATATATATATATATATATATATATATATATATATATATATATATATATATATATATATATGAATGAAAACTCACACCCCAGAAGTGACTCGAACCCATACTCCCAGAAGCAACGCAACTGGTAACTACAGGGCGCCTTAATCCGCTTGACCATCACGGCCGTCAAAAGGAAGTGATAGCCGAGGCTATTTGAGCCACTTCCCCGACGGCAACTCGGATGGTAATCTTGGGCATAGCATTTCACCAAATCACCCAAGTCATAATCTATGCCCAAAGATTATGACTATGCCAAGTCATAATCTATGCCCAAGATTACCATCCGAGTTGCCGTCGGGGAAGTGGCTCAAATAGCCTCGGCTATCACTTCCTTTTGACGGCCGTGATGGTCAAGCGGATTAAGGCGCCCTGTAGTTACCAGTTGCGTTGCTTCTGGGAGTATGGGTTCGAGTCACTTCTGGGGTGTGAGTTTTCATTCGCATATAGTCCTGGGGACCATTCAGGCTTGTTCGCATATATATATATATATATATATATATATATATATATATATATATATATATATATATATATATATATATATATATATATATATATATATATATATATATATATATATATGTACATATATATATATATATATTTTGCCACCAGTTTTATATGTACAAATATATATGAAGTAATATCACAATATAACACTAAAACATACTAACCTAATATAATTGGTCAGAAATATGGGTCCTCAAGGTGGCACTGGAGTGGCACTAGTAGGCACCGCCATAGCCGGGGTCAGCTCCCTCAGGGGCCTTTCTTGGTTTGGTTGTGGGTCTCGTTGGTCTCTGCTTATCCTTGTCCTTTTTGTTCAAGTACCAGTCTCGTACGTCACTTTGTGGTAGACCGAGGAGGTTGTTCAGTGATCCCATCACATACCCAGCGTTATAGTTGACAGCTGTCATTGCCATGGCAAATTCTACCATTACACGACTGACAAACTGGTGTTTGGGGGCGAGTTTCCAAACTCGTTGGTGTAATGACTCGTTTGGATTTTGAGTCTTGCCCTTCAGACACTTAGTCATGTTGTCGTCTGATACAAGATTATAGTATATCTTCAGGACTTCAGTCATGTGGACACTGGGTAGCTGGAAATGTACCCTCATCGTCTTGTGTGATCTTGGGGTTTTTTCATTTGCAATATCTTGCTGGTAAAAACACCAAGACTCTTTCCCTTTAGGGCAGTGCACGTGCATTGGCTTCTCATCAGTCGATGTTGTATGAAACAGTCCGGACAGACAGGCATCCCTCATTCGTTTCCAGTCTGTGTTGATGTTATCCCGGATGGCTTTGGTGAAGTAACTTGCTAACTTTTGAATGGTGACATCAGTTAATTTACCTTTTCCTTTCACCAGTGACATTCGTCTGGTCTTTTTCACATTGCCTTTTGTCTCTTTCAATTCCACAGCCGTTTTCTGAAAGTTCCGGAGCTGTGTTGCAAGTCTCTTGCTGAAGTGATTTATACACTCAGCCTTTTCCACGGTTACATTTCGATATGGACCAGCACCATTATTCATTGCACAAATTTTATTGAAGGCTGATGAATCCCCATCACTAACCAAGGTCGTATACCTGAATTTGAGCTCTTCAGATCGACCCCACATCAATACTGCGGCATCAGCCTCCATATTTTTGGCAGTGCCGTCATAGTTCTTATCACAATTAGGTACATGTTTACGCATCTCACTGTCAAACTCGGTCTGTGTTAATTTTCCGTTTTGTTTTCTAGTCAGTAACACATGGCACTTTCTGCAGTTTTTGCAGAAACAACTGTAGTCCACAACGAGACCTGTGAATATCTCCACAACAAAGGCACACCCAATTTGTGAATGATGGCCCCTTGTGTGCCACGATCCATCAAACGATACATCAATGTCCAGGATCCCACCAACGGAGTGCCTATCAAATTCTTCTCTATAATGATTGAAGATAATATGACGAGTGTTTTTGTTTCAAGTACACCCATTTCTCACTGGCAGCATTTTTTACCATTTTCTGGATCCTATTATATACACTATAGGATACACATTTCATGTTTGCCATGGAACACATACCCCTGTAATATGAATATCCATGTCCATTTAGCATATTGGTGTACACTAAGGATATCAGATTTTCATTATTTCCCATCAATTCTTCAGTGAATGAAAAATGACAATGATTACAGGTTCTTTTCACATTTACATTATGTTGCACAATCGTAATGTGATGACGAAAATTATCCAGTTTACAGTTTATGCACACGCTAAATTTATCAAGGCATTTTTCCATTTTCCTATCCGTGACAATTAGCGCAGACTCACGTGGCTTTACTCTATATTTCACTTCACTGTCACCTTCAGTGTCACCTTCAGTGTCACCGTCCTTGTCAGTGTCACTGTCACTTCCAATTATTTGTTTTCTAAATAAACTTAGTCGTTTCTCGGCACTGTTCTGGATACGTTTACGCTTTCTGGAAATGTTTGCAGTTGTCAAATCAGCACGTGAGGTGCTGGGCCCTGCAACAGCACTTGAGGTGCTGGGCCCTGCAACATCAAGAGCGAGAACGTCTGGAGTAGCAGGTGGAACGTCTGGAGTAGCAGGTGGAACGTCTGGAGTAGCAGGTGGAACGTCTGGAGTAGCAGGTGGAAGACCTGGAGTAGCAGGTGGAACATCTGGAGTAGCAGGTGCAAGACCTGGAGTAGAAGGTGGAGAATGTGCGGTGGCAGAGGGTGGGATTGTTTAGCGGGCTGCGACACTCGTGGCTGAGAGGCCTCCACGATCTTCACTCGTCAAAGTGCGTAATCCACGGATTCTAGCCAGCTCGCACCTTCTACGGGCAGCTAGCATGCTTTTAGCTTTCAGAGTTTTCCTCATCTTCGTTTTGTACGTCATTTTGCAGTAAAAATAGCACAAATACTGATAATTCTGGGAGATATTGTGAGCGCGCGTCCACGATAGATCCGCCAGATATGGGACACAAAGAGTGACTGACTGTATGCCAGCAATCCCATCCCTCCCTCACACGAGACTGTTGCCAATGAGTGAGTTTATATTTGTTTTATGAATCACACGTTATTTTCAACGCTATTATGAAATATTAGACAGCTACAACGTAAGACGCAATACCCCACGGCGCACCCAGGCCGCGAGAACCGGAATGGGGAAACTTGCAGCAGGAATTTTGACTCTACATTATTTTTCAAGATAACATGAAAAGGTTTTCACCACAGTGTTGCCAGAACGTTGTAGTATTTTTCAGAATTTTTTGTAAATTTTCGAAATTTTTCGGATTTGAGCATAGATGTCCCCTTACTCGAGCCCACTGTCATTGCACCCACCTTACTGTGTCTGATCGGGGCTGTTCCACTAAGGTCAATCACAAGTGGAGCGTCCCTGCTGGCGTCAGATTCGTCGGGGGCTGGTCCTCCATTGTTGACTCCCGGGTTGGTGTTGCTGCAGCCCTCCCCTCTTGGGGCGGTGAGTGGGTTCCTGCAGCCCTCCCCTCCTGGGGCAGTGAGTGGGGGCTTGCAGCCCTCCCTTCCTGGGGCGGTGAGTGGAATCCTGCAGCCCTCCCCTCCTGGGGCGGTGAGTGGAATCCTGCAGCCCTCCCCTCTTGGGGCGGTGAGTGTGGTCCTGCAGCCCTCCCCTCCTGGGGCGGTGAGTGGAATCCTGCAGCCCTCCCCTCCTGGGGCGGTGAGTGGGGTCCTGCAGCCCTCCCCTCCTGGGGCGGTGAGTGGAATCCTGCAGCCCTCCCCTCCTGGGGAGGTGAGTGGGGTCCTGCAGCCCTCCCCTCCTGGGGCGGTGAGTAGGGTCCTGCAGCCCTCCCCTCCTGGGGCGGTGAGTGGAATCCTGCAGCCCTCCCCTCCTGGGGCGGTGAGTGGAATCCTGCAGCCCTCCCCTCCTGGGGCGGTGAGTAGGGTCCTGCAGCCCTCCCCTCCTAGGCGGTGAGTGGAATCCTGCAGCCCTCCCCTCTTGGGGCGGTGAGTGGAATCCTGCAGCCCTCCCCTCCTGGGGCGGTGAGTGGAATCCTGCAGCCCTCCCCTCTTGGGGCGGTGAGTGGGTTCCTGCAGCCCTCCCCTCCTGGGGCAGTGAGTGGGGGCTTGCAGCCCTCCCTTCCTGGGGCGGTGAGTGGAATCCTGCAGCCCTCCCCTCCTGGGGCGGTGAGTGGAATCCTGCAGCCCTCCCCTCTTGGGGCGGTGAGTGTGGTCCTGCAGCCCTCCCCTCCTGGGGCGGTGAGTGGAATCCTGCAGCCCTCCCCTCCTGGGGAGGTGAGTGGGGTCCTGCAGCCCTCCTGGGGCGGTGAGTGGAATCCTGCAGCCCTCCCCTCCTGGGGAGGTGAGTGGGGTCCTGCAGCCCTCCCCTCCTGGGGCGGTGAGTAGGGTCCTGCAGCCCTCCCCTCCTGGGGCGGTGAGTGGAATCCTGCAGCCCTCCCCTCCTGGGGCGGTGAGTGGAATCCTGCAGCCCTCCCCTCCTGGGGCGGTGAGTGGAATCCTGCAGCCCTCCCCTCTTGGGGCGGTGAGTGGAATCCTGCAGCCCTCCCCTCCTGGGGCGGTGAGTGGAATCCTGCAGCCCTCCCCTCCTGGGGCGGTGAGTAGGGTCCTGCAGCCCTCCCCTCCTAGGCGGTGAGTGGAATCCTGCAGCCCTACCCTCCTGGGCGGTGAGTGGGGTCCTGCAGCCCTACCCTCCTGGGCGGTGAGTAGGGTCCTGATGCCCTCCCCTGCTGGGGCGGTGAGTGGAATCCTGCAGCCCTCCCCTCCTGGGGAGGTGAGTGGGTCCTCCCTCAACGAGGCCGACTCGCCAGGGTCGATCTCGGGGTCGTCGTCGTCGTCGTCCTGCCCGTCAGAGGCCAGCCCCACAGTGCTGGACCCCGGGAGGCTGCAGCCCTCCCCTCTTGGGCAGGTGTGTGGGTCCTCCTTCGCCGAGGCCGACTCGCCAGGGTCGACCTCGGGGTCGTCATCGTCGTCGTCCTGCCCCGGGTGGCTGCAGCTCTTCCCTTCTGGGGAGGTGGGTGGAGTCCTGCAGCCCTCCCCTCCTGGGGAGGTGAGTGGGACCTTCCTCCTCGAGACCGACTCGCCAAGTTCGGCCTCGGGTTGGCAGTCCTGCCCATCAGAGGCCAGCCTCACAGCGCTGGCCCCCCGGGTAGCCCGTAGTCGTCCTCACATCGACCGTCCTTCTGGGGCGGCTGGGAGGGCAGGGACGTTGGGTGGCATCCTGCACAGCAGCTTGGAGGGCCCTGAAGTCCATCACAGGGCAGCACCAGGCAGCATCGGGGACAGGGTGAAGCAATAAGACTTCACCTGTCTGGACACGCTGCCACCTCTGTAGATCAGAGTCAGAGGTGGAGCAAGCTCCTCGACTTTGCCGTACAGTGGCAAAGGCAGATCAAGCTTCTTCTAGACGTCTAAGAGGCAACTGGACAATCCGAGGCAGCGGTGGAGCTGCCTCGGATTGTAGGAGATTACTGTATCCTCGGATCCTAGGAGCTTGCTGTAGTGCGTTCAAATCGCTTCTCATCAAAGGTAGAGGCCATCAGTAGTCAGTTGCGTTACTGTGCTACAAGTACAGATTTTATTCTTTATTTTAAAAATGTTTTACAGATTGTTACAATTGCCTTGTGTCTTCACAAGGGTGCATGGGTATATATTGTAAAAGTTACATAACAATGTTTTACATTGGTTGATTATAGGTTTACATGGATTATAATATGCATTTGTTTACATTAGTTTACATAGTTTACAATATATGACAATTAGTTACATACTGTCTGCCATTAAAAAACTCAAAAACAGATGTGATATATATAAATTCCTGAAATGAGAAAAAAGTACAGACATGTAAACTAATATTGGCGGGCGCCTGTGATAAATGGGATGAGGCTCGCTCTTTCCCAACTTGCTCCATTACTTTACCTTGATCTGACTTGCTCCTCAGGCTGTCGTCTTGTAGTCCTCTGTGATGGTTCCTTATATTCCTTGTGACCATGTTTCTTTCTTTGTGGGACATGGTTCTCTTCCCACAATAGACTTCCAACGCCTCTCCGTCTGTGGACCACTTGGTTTTCATCCTCCCAGATGAGTTACGGGCTCTTGACCAGAGCGTCTCATGTCCAGAGGGTCTCTGTTCCATGTCGTCCTTTGATAGATACTAACACACGTTTTCTAAAGTTGCTTCCTGGAGAAGTCTTCGTGCCGTTACCCTCTTGCAATCCTCTCTGGCAATATTCCTCGTCTCTAGATCCGGCGTGGTGAGTAGTTTGAATGCCGAGTCTATGATGAATATGTCAGTCTTTTCTGCGGCGAGGGGGATGCCGCAGGAGCCTGCTTCACTCTTTCTAAACAGGTATCCGTTGGTTTCTTTTATCAATGGTCGTAGCTGGTCATCCAGTTCTTGCCAATCACCCTTCCTTAGTTGCCAAGTTCTCATGGCAAACACAGTTGTTGGGAAGAGGAAGGACTTCAGGGCATCGATCCTCTGCCAGGGAGCCAATTTGCTTGTCATTATGGCGACGCCTAGTTGTTTAAATTCTTCAATGGCGTTGGCGTTCGGAAGGAGGTGGAAACCTACTGGTCTGCCTAGGAATTTGGTTTCCTCCCCATCTTGTCTGCTGCAAATTTGCGATTCCCCTATCGTAAATATGGAGTTTCGCATTCCTCTTGGTTTTGGCCCAGACATGTGCATTGAAGAGCATTTCCTTGGGTTGAGTTTGAGTTTCAACTCTTCACAGGCTGCAGAGGTGATGTCAATGAGGCTCTGTAGGCCTTCCACCGTCCTGGATAGCAGGGTTATATCATCTGCAGAGGCCAGGCAGGGATGCTTGAGAGCTGGGTCTGCTAGCAGTCCTGCGTTGATGATCGTTCTCAGTATTGGTTCAATGGCGATGTTGAATAATAGCCCATTGAGTGTGCATCCCTGCCTGACCCCACAGTCAGCCGGGATATCAGTCGTTTCACCGCTTGCAGTTTGGATTTTTGTCGAATTTCCCCTCGTGATGCCTTGGATCACAGTAACAAAGTCTGCTCCCGCGCCCATCCGTGTGAGGGAGGTGTCTATGAGCTCTAAGGGTACTGAACCGAAGGCGTTTGTTAGGTCAAGTGACGCAATGCAAATATCTGTATTGCTGTCACGTGCCTCGTCAAGGTAGTGCTGGATAACATAATTGTGTTCAAGGACCTCGTCTGAGGCCATGAATCCTTTTTGCGCAGGGCAAAGGACTTGGTTTTGCTCAATCCATTTCCTCAGTCGTGCAGCAAGGACTGCTGTATATAACTTGTAAATTGTTTGACATAGGGCAATAGGCCGCCAGTTGGTGATATCTTGTGGGTCAATATCCTTAGGAATGAGGATGGTTCGTGACGTTTTCCACTCTTGGGAAATCCTCTTTTGTTGCAGGCAGGTGCTGAAAATCGCTGCGATCACCTTACAATCAGGGTCAGCCTGCTTTCAGTTTCTGTAGGTTATTCTATCGTTCCCTGGGGCGCTGTTCTCTGACCGTTATAAGCCTGACCTCCACTTCCCCTTCTCTGATTGGGTCTAAGTTGATTGAGGCGCGATCTTCCTGCGCTTCAGGGATGGATTGGAGTGCTTCTGGGTCTCCTATTGGTGGTTGGGCTGCCAACACCTCGGAAAAGTGCCTCTCTATTATTTCACAAGGGATATCGCAGCGGCTACTTTCCCCTGATGTAATCAGCCTTACCGCACGTCTTCTATTTCTTCTATATAGGAGTTGGATCGCCTTGCAGTCGTTGACATCGATGGCTGTGGGTGCTGGTCTACTGTCATCTATTCGGATGTTGCAGTGGGCTTGAACCGCCTCTGTAATATCTTTCAGGAGGCTTGCGAACTCGTCCCAATCTGGAGAGCGTAGTAATTCCAGCAGCGGAGCATAGAAGGGTTCCAGTACCCATTCTTGTGCTGCCTCATCGGGTTGTTGTTCTGGCTGGTCAACTTCGTCGGGTTCTTGTTCCAGCTGTGCTTCCTCATCAACGTTGTCATTTACCTGTGACTCATCAAACCTTTCATCATCATTATTATCCTTGCCGCTAGCCTCTGGGGAGGCCCGGTCTTCATCCTCAGGCCCTGGGGGATCAGGATGGGTAGGAGAGGGATGTTGGGGGAATGGAACTTGCATGAGTTCCATTCCCCCAACATCCAACAGTATGAATGGTGGTCGGTGAGGCTGTGGATGCTGAAGAGGGGGTAGGATTGGTGGGGGTGAAGGGGTGGGGGATGGTACTGGAGAGAAAGAAATGGGTGAGGCAGGTGGTCGTGCTGGTTCAGGGATGGGGTTATTGGGTGTGGGTGGGGGTAAGGTTTCAGGGCTCGTTGGGTGATGCTTATCAGGGCGCTGATTTGCTGGTTCGGGTGATGGTTTGCGGGGGTGGCGACCTCCTGTCTTGAGGCTGTTGGATGTCATTCCGTCTCTCCTGGCCTGCTCGCCTTATGTGGTATTTTTCATGGCTCATCTTCCCTATGACTGAGTTGCATGAAAAGTTACAATTCGGTCTATTACATGGGAATGCCAATTGAACATTGTCTTCCTGTCTTGATGCTACAATTCTCTGAAGAGGTGCACATGAATGTGTAGATGGTCTTTGTCCCAAAGTTCTGCAGCACCCTGCGAACTTATATATGGTCCTCTCGATCTTGAGACCATGTCCACCGCTCAGATGTCTCATTAGGGATACCCTCTTACAAGTCCATGTCTTCCCTGAGTGGACGTGGGGGCAGGCGGTCTCTGTGCATTTGAAGTGTTTTGGGAGGGAGAACCAGATGATGAGGGCTTCCCCCCGCCTCTGCGGCTGCTGGACTGGGCTGGGTTCGTCGTTGTCGTTGTTGTTCATGATGTCGTTCTCCCTGGGGGCTGGTGGCGCCCCCTGAGGAGGCTCTGGGGTGGTGTCGTTTCCTACTGGGTCCGATGAAGCCTGGGGTCGACTGTCGTCGTCACTGCTGGTGTCAGAGTCTCTTGCTATGCATCGAAAGACGAATCTCTGGTTTCTCTGCCTGTGAACGTTGATGTCGTCCCAGGAATCATTGTCCCCATTGGTTTGTAGTACATCATTGTCGGGTCCAGGGCCGACCAGGCCTTTGCCAGGGCTGAGGGCTGGGGCAGCCCTGGAGGTAGTGTAGTGTAGTGGCGCCGACCCCCGAAACAGTCTCCTGAACTGTGGCTGTTTGGGAGGCGTCGCTGGGGTCGGCCCTGGTAGTGGCTGTCTTGGCATAGCCAGGGCCAGCCCTCAGGGGTGCATTGCAGGCACCAGCCCTCAAGGGCTTGTTGGGGGAGCCAGCTCCTGGGCTAGTGTAGCTGGAGCCGACCCCCGGGCTCGCATCGCTGGTGCCGACCCCCAGTTCCGTGTTGCCAGCAGATGTTGGTCCTGAGCCGGTCCTCAGGTGAAAAGCGCTAGATAATCTAGGCTTACTGGCGGGGTCGCTGGAGCCGATCCCATGGGTTGACGTCTCTGAGTCCATGATGGTGATTGCTGATGCTCCTTGCCACGAGTCTTCTTTCCTTCCGTGTCATGGTCCGCTCCCCGCACGTTAGTGCCAGTTCTTCGCCAGCAGACCATTTCATGTCAAGCTTGCGGATGCATTTCTTGATCTTGACTAGACTGTTTAGTGACCAGTCGGCCGCTGAGCCATTGCTTCCTTGAACAGGTACTGGCAGATATTCACTAATGTAGCTTCTGCCGCGCTGCCATATAGGTAGTCATTTGTAGCTCGGGTCGGGAGATAAAGTGTTGACTTGATTAATTTCCGTAGATGATCATCGAGTTCCTGCCAATCTCCCTTCCTCAGCTGCCACGTTCTCATTGCAAATACCGTCGTGGGGAATACAAAGGTTTTTAGAGCATCAATCCTCTGCCAGGGTGCCAACTTGCTGGTCAGTATGGCTTCCCTCAGCTTCTTAAAGTCATCAATTGCTGTAGAATTTGGCAGTAGGTGGATGGCCTGCCAAGGAACTTAGTTTCTTCGCCGTTCCTACGGCAGCTGATGTTTGTCTCGCCGATTTGAAAAGTCGTGTTCCTCATACCCCTTGGCTGTCTCCCAGACATATGCATAGAGGAGCATTTTTTGGGGTTTAGAGTCAGTCTCAGGTCCCTGTTACCTATCGTACGTTACGGCTCGTGACCCTACAGCAGCCAACGGCTCGTGACTTTAATTACGTCTAGGGATACGAGACAACTGCTGTTCTCAATAGCGAATCACCAGTATAACCCCTTGATAAGTAATGAGCACAATAATAAATCTTCCTTAGGACTGAAGAATAGATACAAAATCTTATATAGATATATATTAAATAAATCTCAATAGCAAACAGATGATTATTTGGTCACAATATATCACATTAAAAATATCACTGTATCTTCCAGACATTAAATTAATATTATTATATGTATGGCTATGACAGAACAAAAATGTATAACTTAACTCCACTAGATGCTAACTCTCTGGTTCCGGATCAGCTACTCAATAACAATAACGCGGGAGTCAAAACACATTGCCTTGCCCCGCGAACAATTTGCCAAAGTTACAATATTTATTATTTCAACAATGGAGCAATACATTGTGACAAGAGTAATCTTAAACTAACTTAATGAATAATTAATACATATTGATATACAAAAATAAGGTAATTATTTCTTTACATAGTAATTAAAATATGCATACAGAAGGGAATAATGGCATGCACACCCAGCAACGGACGGTCCCACGACAATTTGCCAGATACAGTTCACTCAATTATTATTCACCTCTGTTACCCACATATGATCACATATAAATCATTAGTTCCCGTGGGAAAACTGAGCACACAAAGAAATAAAACAATCATTCCCACGATACGTTGGGCCTAACGCCAACACTGTAACATGAATGTACGTTTGCATAGAACATATAAGTATATCAATATACATGCTTGTAATTTACACACAATTATAAATGTACATATTAATTTATTTACTTACGTATCTTATAGGGGTACGTAACACTTCCACCTCCAAGAAAAAAAATGCAATGGATTGAAGATCAATGGCATTTTTTCCGAAGTAAAAATGTTAAGTGAAAAGAAACATTTCATTTATGGTACATCAAAACTTCTTGACAAAGCATCAGCAATAACATTTTGCCTGCCTGGAATATGTTTGATTTCTACATTAAATTCCTGCAAAAACAATGACCAGCGCAGAATTCGTTGGTTCTTGACTTTCATCATATTTATAAAGATAAGGGGGTTGTGGTCTGTAAATACTAACACTTTGTTTCCTGATAAGTAAATCTCAAACTTCTTAATTGACAATATAAGACCCAACGCCTCCTTTTCTACCACGGAATAATTTCTCTGAGCTGCATTAAATTTTCTAGAGTAATAATACACAGGATGCTCAATCTTGTCTAAACCAACTTGAATAAGCACAGCACCTATTCCAACATCTGACGCATCAATGTGTAATATAAACGGTTTATCAAATTGGGGACTAGCAAGAATAGGTGAGGTGGACAATATGCCCTTTAGGTTCTGAAAAGCATTCTGACAATCTTGTGTCCACTGAAACTTTACTTGCTTGCGTAACAAATTTGTCAAAGGAGCAGCTACTGTTGAAAAATTTCTACAATAACGCCTATAGTATGCACACATACCAATAAACCGTTGGACTCCTTTCTTATTGGTTAACACTGGGTAGTCCACAATGGCTTGAATCTTATCTTGTAAGGGGATAATCTTACCTTGTCCTACCTCGTGTCCAAGATAAGTTATCGTACCTCTTGCCCAACTACACTTATTCATATTTATGGTTAACTTTGCGTTTTTCAACACTGTAAACAAGTTCTTAAGGCCTAAGAGATGATCTGCCCAATTCTTACTGTACAAAACAATGTCATCAAGGTAGGCCCTACAATCTGGCACATCCTTGAGTAAGAAATTCATGAGTCTTTGAAAAGTAGCAGGTGCATTTCTCAAACCGAATGGCATGACATTAAATTCATACGCACCATCAGGTGTAACAAAAGCAGTAACCTCCCTAGCATACTCTGTTAATGGAATTTGGTAGTACCCTTTTGACAAATCAAGCTTACTTACATATTCGGCATGTCCTATGGACTCAATACATTCCTCCAACAAGGGTAAAGGAAAAACGTCCACTGTAGTGTTCTTGTTCAGTTTCCTATAATCCACGCACAATCTCCAGGTTCCATCTGGTTTTGGCACTAACAAACACGGAGAGCTCCAAGTACTTTGACTTGGCCGAATGAAATCATGCTGGAGCAGATATTCCACTTCTGCTTGTATAATTTTCCTCTTTTCGGGATTCACTCGGTACGGATGTTGTCGAATGGGGGTGCTGTCCAGGAGCTGAATGTCGTGTGTGATGAGGTGGGTCTGGGTAGGAACCTCCCCAAACAGAGATGTATGGTTGTCCAGCAGAACCTGGAACTCATCACGTTGTTCCTCCTGTAAATGACATAGCATCTCCCTGCCATTGGAACTGGAACTGAGAAGTTGAATATTAACATCATGTCCCTCACTACAATTATCCTCAGGTGGTAACTCTTCCCGACTAAAACAAGCTACTACACCAGGTCCAACATAAGCTTTTAATCTGTTAATGTGCACAGTCATTTGGGGTTCTGAAAGATTAGGGCTAATTAGTTTATAAGTTAGGTCTCCCACCTTTTCTACCACTTGGTAGGGTCCGGCGAACTTATGGGACATGGAAGTCCCCATACGAGGTTTCAACACCAACACCAAATCTCCGACAGCAAACGACCTGAGCTTAGCTTTGAACTTCTTGTCATATCTTACTTTCATGGCTTGTTGAGTCCTTCCCAGATGTTCTTTCGCCAACTCACGAGCCCGACACAACTTGGCCTTGACCTCACTCAAGTACAATCCACTCTGATGAACAGAGACATCTCCCAACAACTTTTCTTGTAGCATTTTAAGAGGACCTCTTACTTGGTGACCAAACACTAGTTCAAAAGGTGAACAGCCCAATGACTCTTGTAGCCCTTCTCTAGCAGCAAACAACACAAAGGGGAGATTCTCATCCCAATTACGTGGATGAGTTTCTCCGGTTGTCCTCAGCATTTGTTTCAAAGTCTGGTGGAAACGTTCAAGCCCACCTTGGCTTTGTGGATGATATGGACTGGATAATTTGTGCCGAATCCCTCGGGATTCGCAAAAAGTTCTGAAAACTTTAGAAACAAAATTTCCCCCATTGTCACTCTGAATAACTCTAGGCATTCCAAACAACGAAAAGAATCTTTCAAGACACTTGATGAGATTATGAGCCTTGGTATTCCGTAGAGCATAAGCTTCAGGAAATCTAGTAGTCATACACATGAGAGTGAACAAAAACATGTTACCCGACTTAGTCTTAGGTAAAGGACCTACACAATCAATTACAACATGAGTAA